AGATGGTGAGAGTTTGGCACCAGTGTTGACACCAACTTTCCCCGCACAGTGAAAGATACAATATGTCACTTTCCTGCATATAATGTCATCAAATGCGGTTTTTGAGTTGTGTATTTTAATACACTATTATTCCAACTATTTACAAACCTAGCGAAATCCATAATTTGAATGGCCTATAGTGCTGTCATTTCCACTCTAGGCAGGAGTCGGCATCGATATATGACTTTCCATCTAGTTTGAAGCTACGGGTTTTTATTGGATACACTTTGAAGATAGTCCATTACAGCATATTTTAACCAGATAAAGGAATTTAGTCATGGGGTCTTAAGTTATCAGAGAAACAAGCTGAACACACTTTAGCATCAGCCAAACACCTTCACAGAAACACTGAATTTGAACTAACACTGGTTTATTTAGTCTTTGAATGGGTTTTATTTCCATGGCCCTGTTTGGGAGAAAAGACCTGCAGATCATTTGTCTTCTATTAAAAACCCTTCTAAGCGATGAACAATAAAGGAATCCTAAAAGAAAGAAACTAAGGGTAGTTACGGCAATGCTCCCAACAACTCCTATCATCCCACGCTTCAAATTGTCCCCCAAACCCATTGAATGAAAGACCCATAGTAGTGAGAAAGTAAATGTCCTAGAGCAGTGGTTCTCAAACTTTTTTCAATAATGTACCCCCTTTGAGAAAAAAATGCAGCCACGTACCCCCTGATCAGGGCAAAAACTATTTGTTAAGGAAAAAAAGCCTATATAAAGAGGTACAGTACAGCGCTGCACCATCGGTGTCTGATTTATTAAAACAACAACCTTGTAACTGAGAAACACTTAAATGCTACATTTCAAATGTTGACAATCCATCACTAAATTCATGGCAAACCAATTTTAACATCATGCAATAACACTAAGACGACATTAGCTGCATTGAACTGATCTTTTTAATAAGTTGTACTTACAATGTAGTGAGAAACATGGGCTTGTGCTTCACTGAGGATCTTTGTCATGCTGACAGGGAGGCAAACTGCAGTTATTACACTTCGAGTTTTGAAATATGTGTAACTCTGTTCATATAATACCCACACTGCTCAAACTTCATTACTTTTCCTAAAATTAGTATATTTATTTATTTTGGGGCGTGGGGAACGAAGAGAAAAAAATATGAGCATTTTATGAGCATGGGATTTTGACCCCTCATATAAACATATGCCTAATGCTGCGCTATACTTTGTGGCCACACGCCGTTGCCAAGCAACGCTTATTGATTAGGTCCTTTGATAAGCAGGCAGTCATATAATTAACTAGAACTAGTTAGATCTGATAGATTTGGACATAAACGCGAGTTAAGTCTAACCAGACGCGAGAGAGAGATCAGAGAGCAGATCAGCTGCTGCTGACGGAGAACACGCAGCTCTGCATTATCACAGCTCCGCTGCTGTGACGGACCGTTGAGTGGAGCAAAATACAGTTAGACCTAACACACTTCGCTAGTTTATATACTCTGGAACTAGCTAAACTAGTTATAAATATATTTATTCTTTACTGTCGGGTCACTTGTTACAGGTTCAGCGAGCTGCACGAGACTGACGGGCTGTCAGGAGAGGGAGAGGAAAAGAGAGCACCCTGTTTATTTTCCCCATTTTATTATCCAGAATTACTGTAAACCTTTGAATAAAGTAGTTCATCTACTATTAGCAGTTTGTTTAAATGCATTAATTATGTTGTTTTTTTTCATTAACATAAAATAAATCTCACGTACCCCCTGCAGTACTCAACGTACCCCTAGGGGTCCGCGTACCCCCATTTGAGAACCACTGTCCTAGAGTTTAGTGTTGGGAAATAATTGATTTCCCTTGCAGTCAGCCTCTGGTTCACCTGCATTGGTGTCTTATACAGAGCTGAGAGAATGATTAATGCCCCAAACAATGACCTACCTAACTAACTTTGGTTTTCTCTCTTTTCTAGGCAATGGACAAGCTTCCTCTCTGCTGCATCCACTGCTGTTTATGTTTACATGTACTCCTTTTACTACTACTTCTTCAAAACTAAGTAAGTGTAACACTGTATCAACCACACAGGTCATATACAATCAAGAGAGTACAAAAGCAATGAAATGCATTTGTTAAATGTTTCTCTTTGGTGTATTTCAGGATGTACGGGCTCTTCCAGACGTCCTTCTACTTTGGCTACATGGCTGTGTTCAGCACCTCTCTAGGAATCATGTGTGGTGAGTCTCAAATATAGTTGCTTTAATACTCTAGGACCTTCCAGAGTAAAGAAATACATCACTTCTCGACTCATAATACTCACAAAATTCCATTTACTTCAAAAAGTAATTGCAAAATATATTGCTTTACTTGGAAAATACTGCCTTTTTCATGAATGTGAAAGATGTTTTGGCAAAACAGTGATGTGAATTATTAGCGAATATGCAGAGCTCCGTAATGTGTTTCTGCAGCTTCCCAAAGAACCCTCTTACTTTTCTGTGACGTTTGCTTGTATAAGTGTTCCAGGTCAGACTCAGCAAACCTCTTAGCTGCACAAACCTGTTGTAAACGTCTTGTTTCAACTTGATGAATGCTGCCTGTTCATGAGGAGGTGCACGTTCCTGAAATTGAATCGTTAGCACAATGATCCCGAAGCACAAAATTGGCCCGACGGCAGGCGCCCGTCTCTGACACGCCGAGCTGAATCCCTCGGGCAGGAGCACCCGTCTGATTTCTGCTTTAGGCATTTAAACAACAGAGAGCAGATGGTCAAACAAGAAATAAACAGTTCATAATTATTCTACTATGGATTGCAGCCGCATCAATCAGGAAAGTGTTTAACAGCTGCTGGGTGCACACAGTGACGACTCCCCAAAGGTGAAGCCAGCTGGTTAGTTAGTTAAAGTGCTTGATTTGTTTCTGAGCCGTGCCTGTTTTTTTTAACGTCAATATTGCTAGTGATCATGTCGGTTTGATTGTGGGAAGCAAACATCTTCACTGTGCAGCCAACTAGTGCTTGGTTAAAGGGGCCCTATTAGGTTTTAGGGCGTTTCCCTGTCTGTACAGTAATATATGATTTTGTGCATGTTAATGGTCTGCAAACACACTTCCCCAGCCACAGCTGGTACTGTACACCTTTCTCTGTGTGCACCACCTCCTTCAGGGTTGCTGGGATGTCACCTTTATTGGATACCTTCACCAGTAATCATTTCCCTCCTCCTGTGATGGATTAACCAACAAAGTGCTTGCAGTTGCCAGGCCACCTTAAAGAAACTCACTGAACTCTGTTGTTTTCCAGGTGCCGTTGGATACATGGGAACAAGTGCCTTCGTGAGGAAGATCTACACAAATGTAAAAATTGACTAAAGAAGCGAAGCAGCATCACAGGGATATAAATGCATTTGCCTCGTGTATCCTGAAAGACGGCGGGCACAAGTCATTCTTTATTCCTCTTTTTTTTCCTTGCAAAGAGAATGTGAGAATCTCACTTTGTACAATGTCGTTTATTTTTTCTTCGTTTTTCTGAATGAATTTCAACGCCGCAACTCAGAATCTGCGGAAAGAGATTTCAAACACAAGGTTCTGTTTTTATGAGTTGTTTCAAACAAACGTTGGGCAAATGTTTAAGGCTGACATCTTTTCCAACCCAGTCCCACCTGAGACCAGAGAACATTCACGTTTATCGCTGGGATAGTGTAGCTCTCTTCAGTGAAGAGGCCTAAGTGTATTGAGAGCCTACGTTCTGTTCAGTCAGAATATTGGAGTTGGCTTTTGCGCCCGTGTTCTGACTCATTTCTATTTTGTATTCTTGAAGTCCCTTGAAATATCGTTAACACGCAGTAAAGGTTTGTTTTGGTTAATGTCCACTGCAAAAAAAGATAAACAACTCGAGTCATTCCCCCGTTTTGACGATTCTTAATTCCGTTACAGTAGCAATCCATCCAGTTGTTGAGGGAGATTTTAGTCCTGCTGTAGTTCACTGTACAGACGAGAACAGAGGGACTTATCAACGGTTGAGGTACAGTAAGAAAACCAATTTTTAAATGGATGTTTGATGTGATCCCATTTCCCCGTTCACCCGGGGTTTTCTTAATGTTTGGGTTTGAATGAAGTCTACTTGTAAAGATAATATATGGATGGGTGGGAGTGTATATAACCTTAATAATGTACCTTTAGACGTAGATCCCAAATGTATTTTCGTTGTACAGATTTACTACAGGGTGTTTTCTTTTTTTTAAAATCTAAACAAAAAAAGGTTTTTCTTTTCCTCGTTTGGGATGGGGCTGGTGGCGCCGTTACATCTTGCCTGATATTGCATGAAGTTTTCACCAAACCATCTGCTCATCAAATTCCACTTCTTCAGTCAGTGCTGTCGAGATTTGTTTTCCCCTCTCTGATTGTGAGCATCTTCTCAAAAGGTACATTTTGACAGCGTGCTTGTGGACTCTTTATTTTTGATTTCTTATATTATTTAAAGCTTTAAAAGCCTCTGCATCCTCTGGTAAGCCATTTCCCCTTCTGTTCTAACCCCAACCCCAAACATAATTTGTGAATGTCAGAAGCAATGAGGCGATGGCTTTGTTTCCACAAACGTACAAGGTGAAGTTTATGTACACTTAAAAACTAGATGTTTTCATAACCACACACAGTGCTGGCTGCGGAGTGTTTCAAACGCTTTCCCCCCCATTTTGTGTAAATACAGTATGTACCCTACTTGTATGAGAAGTGGCAATGCCTTTTTTTTTTTCTAATTTCCAGTTCTCCCCACTGAAGTTGATTTTGGCACCTCATGTTGTGTACCAATGTCTGATTAGACATTCTGAACCTGCATATTAACTTGCTGTAAAAAGAGAAAATAAACATGTTTATGTACAGGGGTTATTAAGTGTGGTTTTCACTGAGGCTACATATTTTGGAGTTACTAGAGATGTGTTTTACTCTTATATGCCAATGTAAATTACATTCGGTTCAATCATCAGGAGGAATAGCACATTCAGTTTCAAAACAAAGGGCTGACATTTATAAAGAATATATTTATTAGCATACTCAAATTGATATTTAAACTAAGTGTACATTTATTGTTAGTTATGAACTCCGTCTTTAGTTGACTTTCTCAAAGTACTCCTTGGATCCTTCTGGTGTTGGTTTGATCTGAAAAGTAAAAAATGTAAACTGAATGAGCGTTAAACTGATTTACTTGAAGCACAACAGTTTCTACACACTTCTAACAACATGATCAAAGAAAAGACCGTTTGCAACAGATCTTAACACTGCAGTGTCAGTGCATGGGTTGATGGTGTTGGAGTCTCATGGCATCAGAGGTTGAGGGACTCACCGTCGGGGACTCGGGGGTCCAGCTGGCTGGACACACCTCACCGTGGGTCTCCACAAACTGGAAGGCCTTCACCAGGCGCAGCGTCTCTTCTACACAGCGGCCCACTGGGAGGTCGTTCACACTCATGTGTCTCACCACGCCGTTTGGATCGATGAGAAACAGGCCTCTGAAGGACCAAAACAATTAATCAAAAACACTTCTGTACTTCTCAACAAAAAAAAAACGATGACAAAATGTACACTCGCATTAAGAAAATGAAAACAGTAATTAGAAATGTTTGGATTACACAATCGTACACAGCGACCGCAAGAAAATAATTGTATAATTCTAACAATTATAATGTGGCGTATACTTTATCTGCAACCGTGCAGTAACACTGGCTTTAAACAGGATGAATATATGTGCATTTGAATGCTGGTATGTCATTTAAAGGTGGGGTAGGTAAGTTTGAGAAACCGGCTCGAGATACACTTTGTTATATTCCATGGAATGCTCTTAACATCCCGATAGCAATGAATATCTTAAGTGCTTTGACAAAAAATCCATAAAGACATTTCATCTGTGAAAGCCGTAGCACTGTAAAAAGTCCCGGCTCGGCTAAAATAACTGGATGGCCTACCTGCCTGTCAGCCTTCCATCTGTGCTAGGGATGTTCAAATTCACCGATTCACATTGGTGCACCGGCATAAACGTTCAAGATGCGAGTGCACCGGTTGAAAGAGTGCACATCGGCTACAGTTTGGGTTGAACTCGCGATGCATCGATTGTAGCGTCTTTGCATCGGTAAAAAAACGATTCATTCATATAATATCCTGTCAGCACTCCGCAGAGACGATCTTTGATCTTTGCTTCCCACTACGGAGGCCGAGAGTCTCAGTTGTCAACACACATGGAAGTCGAGGACAAAGAGAAACACAGCGCACCGAAAAATACCTACAAATCAAACGTTTGGCAAAACTCCGGATTTTTCAAGAAAGACGGTCAACTTGAAAAATCGCTCGCAAATTGTAAACGATGCCGTGCCGCTTTAAAGTACACAAGTAGTACGTGGAACCTAGCGACGCACATAAAGAGGCGACATGGGGTCTGCGGCTGAAAAGAGAATCCTGAAAGTTAGACATAAGTTAAATCACTCAGTGAGGTGTTCTGTCAGAGAGAGTGGTGTTTAGTTTACAGCAGACTGTGACGGCCAATAATAGTTTAAATATCTTCCTTACTGTAAGCAGTTATGAAATACCTGTTTGTGAAAGGTTATTTGTATTTGTTATTGTTCATATAGAAACCACTGCTTTCTGCTCACTGGTGATTTAGCCTATGCAGGAGTGTTAAGCACATCAGGCTGGCAGCTGTATGGGCACTATGGTAGTTGTTATTTGCACATTGTTAATCATAGGCAATGCATCCTTAAATTGTTTAACTGTGAGGTGTTATACAATTGTACTCTGGAGAGTTTAAGGTAAAAAAAGAAACAGCATGATGGGATGTTCAGTACTAGTAGAGAGAACCAAATATGTAAAGCACTTTTTTGTTAATTTATGATTTGCTGCACAGTGCATGACATTAAGGATTTTGGGAGATGGCCCTGTGGGCCGTCTAAGCTAATTTACAGATGGCCCTGAGCCCAATAGAGATTGCCCTGAAAAATGCTCGCAGACGAAATGACGCACGAAGAGTTTGGGGGGCCTCCCCCTAGAACATTTAGATTTTTGCAGGTCTTAGATGCTGTCTGGTGCATTCTCTAGACTGAATTATAAGATGAACCACCACAATATTATATTGTTCAATTGTATTCTTCATTTCACTTGTTTGTTTGTTCTTGTTTGCGTTTGCTCGCTTGCATGCCCTGCATAGCTATAAGAAATACTTAAGTTGTTGATCAAGACAAATGCCTTCCCAGATGTAAACAAGTAGAAAACATTACATTCAGTTATAACTGCCAAATCAAACATTATTTACACTATTACAAATGTTTGGAATGTTATTTACTGTAAGTTGGTCGAACGAATGCCTCCTCATCCGGAAGCTGACCGAGCAGACCCGAGCAGCAGTCGAGAGGAGCCGAGCGCATCCGCGAAGCACACAAAATGGGACGTCAGAGTTCCCGTTAGCCGGCAAATCTAAATCTCTTCGGTCAAAATTATTTCCCTTTAGCGCAATACCGCTTCAGTTGCGCCACTTATGTGACAGACAAGAAGAGTATGTGACAGACAAGAATAGTCAACTCTAATGTCTAACACTTAATGTGGAGAAAGAGATGTCCTGTGTGGGTTGATTGTGCGTTGATCTGTTGGTAATGCCTCAGGGTTCCGGTGGGCATGTAAACAAATGCATAATGCTGCGCTATACTTTGCGGCCTCACCCGGTTGCATAGCGACACTTATTGTTTAGGTGTCTTTTAATAAGCAGGTAGTCATATCATCTAGAACTAGCTGGATCTGATCGATATGGACATAAACGCGAGTGAAGTCTAATCTGACGGGAGAGAGAGATCAGCTGCTGCTGACGAGTTGATACGCAGCTCTGCATAATCACCTGCAGCGGTGAGCGGAACAAAACACACACTTCAGGTTAGAATATCACACGTAGCTATTTTAATTACCTCTCAAACTACCTAAACTAGTTATAGATATGTTTAGTTTTACTGTCGGGTCACTCATTACTGGATCCGCGAGCTGCATGATAGATTGCCCGGTCGGGCAACCAGCAGGTGAGGCTCTATTGCCCAAGCTAAATACTAGATGGCCCCGGGCCATCGGGCAGTCCTTAATGTCGAGCCCTGCTGCATATGAGGAATAAAACAAAAATCCTCTGTCGTACGATATTGAAGTATCATTATTTTGCATCGTGTTGAAACGCATCGTATTGCCCCATATCGCATAATGTTGAATCAAATCGTATCGAACTGTATCGCAACAGGGGTGAATCGTATCGCATCGCCTGGTGTTTCAAATGTATCGTTAATATATCGGGGCAACGTATCGAGATGCGCATCGCATCGGCCTCAGTGATGGAGATGCACATCCCTAATCTGTGCACAAACTTATCTCGTGCCCTCATTGGTCATGTGCGCGTTCGTGTGTGTTGGAGGAGGGGCTCTGTAAGGAAGTGGCAGATTTTCTCCGGTCGTGTATTTTCAAATTCTAGCGATCTCGAGCTGGTTTCTCAAACTTACATACCCTATCTTTAATTGCCAATTATACTTGAAGCTTCCTAACTATTCCGTTTTCTACCCTTTGTTGTAAAAAGATAAATTAGTGATATTTCCCTGTTGTCAGACGTGTATAAATGACATAATAGACGTACCTCAGTGCGATGCCTGGACCCTCCAGCAGCACCCCGTAGTCTTTAGAGATCTGCTTGTTGAGGTCGGACAGTAAGGGGATGTGGATGTGACCCAGGCCTCCAGTCTGACAGAACACCAGGAAACAACACCTGTTAGAATAACTGACACTACTACTGCAGTAAACACATCAGACATACAGTTAGTCATTTGCCAACGCTCCTTTGTGACCCACATCAAAGAATGAATGGAAAAAGTCAGCGAGTTGAACTCTGCACGTGTCAGTTTCTGAATAATGATCAGAGGGGCAGCACCTTGCGTGGCGTGTTGATCCATGCCAGGTGGGTGAAGTGAGAGTCCACAGACACGCCCACCACCTCACAGTTAACATCGTGGAACTCGTTGGCCTTGTCGCTGAATGAGATGATCTCTGTCGGACATACAAAGGTGCTGAAACAAAGAGAGAAAAAAAAGATTCAGTGAGGAAATATTATCTGACCAAATTTAAGCGAGATTGAGAGGAAATCTATTATGCTTTTTGGGGTGTTCCTTTCCCTGTATAGGTTTTTGTGCATGTAAATGTTCTGCAAAGGCTTAAATCCCAAAGTTCCCTCCAGAGGGAGTTTCTCTCCTACACACTCCACCCTGCCTGAAACACTTCCATTTGACTCCATTGTTTATTTTGGTAACATTGTGACATCACTTGATCCAACACATTATACATGATAGGCTAAGGTGCCAGCCAGGTGCTGCAGCAAAGCAGTATGAGAAAAATAAAGACTTTTTTAAACATTGAAGCATGTAAACATGTCACAGTAGAGGCACACAATACAAATGCACATAATATGACCTCTTAATTTTGAGGACTTTTATTATACAAGTCTGGTTTTACAGCCTGTTGTGGTTGGATGAAATGTTATGTTTGATAAGTAACCGTGCATTTGCATGGACATGTGGAACTGAATTTCTCTTTCTTACATTTTTGCTTTACTGTAAGGATTGGCTGGGACTGCGCTCAGGTTTTTTTTGTAAAAGTTTATTTTTTATTTTCCTTTTACATTAACTGCTATTTTTTCTCATGTTACCGTTTTATGTTTGGAAACAAATTAATAATTTTTTTCTTTTTTCAAACGAGATTACTTTCATTCAACAGTCTACTGAGCTACATAAAAGTATAATATCACTCAATGTGCATTTCAATCAAAGGGTATTAAGAGCCCTTCTTCTTTTTTGCATGTCACAAACACTCACAAGTCCAGTGGGTAGAAGAAGAGGACCAGGTATTTGCCCTTGAAGTCAGCGAGGCTCATCTCCTTGAACTCGCCATTGCTGACAGCTGTGCCCTTGAAATCAGGAGCCGCCTGGGTGACAGCAGGGGCCCATCTGGAAGCGCCTGATATAGAAAAGACCATTTATTCTTTCCAACTATTTTCTTAGTAAAACCAAGGGAACATACAGTGTATAGTACAGAGAACTCTGTGTGAAATCTTATTTATAACATTGATGGAACATGTCTGTGCAACTGTAAAGAACCTGACAGTGTACACCATAAACTGATCAGTAAGTTAACCAACAATTTTTTTGAATATTTTACATGTGTAAGATAAGGCGTAACATGTATTATTGAAATACATTTAAATAACAAAAACAAAATGTTTAATATTCTGATATTATTGCTCTGCTATAACCTGAGGACTTGCTTTTATAACAACTCCAGAGAACAATACATGATGTATATTATCCTGCACATGAAGATAACCGCTTCTTGACACTGAAACATCTTTGAGAGAACAATATACTGTAGATTTGGTGATTATTTTGTGAAAAACTTCAAACAATAAACACAATTGGCCAAACCAATCTCCCGTGTTTTGCCCTCAAGTCAAAGAGATTAAGTTTACATATTAAGTCATTCAAATAGTTGCAGATACATTTTTAGATGGACAATAAATGGTGTGTGCTGTAGAGTTTAATCAGCATTCGACTGTATATCGTGTGACTTCAGTACATACTGGTAGAGAAACCGGCTCTCTGCAGTGACGGCGCGCTGAGGATCCTCCTAGCTCCAGACGCTCCACGCTGACAGGAGGCTGTGACTTTCAACCCTCCTGCTGCAACCTTAGCCTTAAAAATGTTTATAAATTCAACATGAACAATCCAGAAATACACTGGAAAGAAAATCTCAAGATATTTTGTGAGTAACTTCACAACACTTATGTCTAAAGGATGAACCATCCATGTCTGTTTCAATTGTATTGAGACATATTAGTTCTATTTGATTATTTGTAGATATGAAGCCCCATATGTCATTATTATCAAAGTGCATGTTTTTTTATATATATATATATATATATATATATATATATCTGCAGTTCTGTTATGCCAACATGGACCACCACGTGTGATATAAAATGCTTAGTTTAGGATAATTCCCGGATTTGTCATAATATGAAAAAGACGACGCTGCACTCAGCCATGGAGTTTGTTGTGATCACACTCTGAACAGTGATATCACAGCAGGAATCTCCATCAGCGGCCAAGAGCAGAACACCTGCTGAGAAAGTTCTAATTGGTGTTAATAACGAGTGAGGACAAGCATGTTAAAAATAACTGCAGGTCTGATGTGAAGTCAATGTTGTGGAATTAGAAAATAATGTCTCCGTGAAGAAAATACCAAAAATTATATATTTATATTGCATTCTCTGACAGATTAGTTAACTAGTATTAGTAAGGGAGTGTTCTGTAATAAATAAAGGATGATTTTCTTTGTATTTAAAGTTGATCATTTAACTAACTTTGTCTTTTTAAGGATATTGTTCAAGTTCAAACAGGTTACTGCTACTCTGATTATATGCAAATATTAAACAATACCTAAAAACATCAAGACCAGGAAAATATTACATGTATGTGTGCTCGTTAGCTGGCACAGTGTAACATTGAATTTAACATACTTGTGTATGATGTAATGCTATTCTAATTGGGGGGGAAAGGGTCCATTGTGTGGAATGATTTATAATGTAACACAATATGCAGATATACTCAGCAGATTGAGAAACAAACATACAGAGTCGGTGGCTCCGCACTTTTAGCTTTCACAGACCCAAGTCATGCAGCAACATAAAGACGTTATTAAATCACATTCATATATTTATTTGCATGGTTAATCTAACATAATTGAGTAACCTACCAAGCGAAGCTACTTCTGTTGCTACAACTTTAGAATGAATCCTTACTTATGATCCTTACATGCACTGCTAAAAAGATTTAAGAAGATTAACTGGATATATTTTGTAACCCATTTTAGTACACAATAGCGGCCGCGGACCAGAGGTTTGTCAGTACTGTGTCAGTTGGTGCTCGGGTTCATTTAAATGTGCGACACACGTGCGAGTACACAAATACATCGTTTCCTGCTATTGACACAGTTATTAGTTAATAATAAATAGCATACTAAGCATAAATACTTTAAATATAAACATGTGACGCTATGTTGGAGAAGTTTCACTCACAGATGTCCTCAGAAGTCTCCCGATAGAGGCTGCCATTTTGGATTGTCTGTCAGAGGAGGGCGGCCGGTTTGTTAAGCAGGTCGTTGCGTCATGTATGCACGTGCTCGACGTAAACCTGTGCTCTGAAAAAATATGAACATAACATTATTCACTTATATAATATTCTGCACCAAAAAAAGTTGATTATCCGAAGATACCTGGACCCAGTCACTGGTAAACAGTATGCTGTAAACACTTTAAATAAATCATGCTGCTTTCAGGTGCTCGTATGTACCATGGACATTAAGAACCTCAGGTGTTGAGAAAATGATACATGTACTCAACCTAATAGCACTTTGCATTACAACTTGAACCAAAACATGCTTAAAAAATGAAGGCTAAAGTCACTGACCTAGTAAACTGAAATAGCAGTCTATAAAACAATTATTTATTTGAAAAGGTTGAACATATTTTACTTAAATATTCAATTATACCCCAAATGTCCCTTACATTTTTTTTGTATGGCTTTTCTTTAAATCAATAAATAACGTCTGTGAAGTTTTGCGTTTCATACTTTTAGCATAAACTGCACTCTTAAAATTAACATAACTTGGATACATCAGATTTTTCCGATGTCCACGAATGCAACACACAGAACACGGGGTTGAAGGCGGAAGTATTTGCTCAGGACTTGAATTTGACCTTAACAAGCACAACACTATATGCTGGTTAAATGTGTGCTGCAGAAGGGATATTGTGACTTATTGAGAAGTTAATGTGGTCGTTGTCCCAATGGATCCTAATCTGTTGTTTTGGAAAAGCGAAGGACAGGTAACTGTACACACACGTTTTTTATATTCAGCTAGAACTGAAACCGGTGTTTACATATCATTTAAATCAATGTACTAGCACTTTAAATGGTTTGGCTTAGTTGAAGCTAATGTACCTACATGATTCTTGTTACTCTGTACCCTCCTGGTTGAATACACATTGTAAGTCGCTTTGGACAAAAGCGTCTGCCAAATGAAATGTAGTAATTTCATCCGAACACGTTTTTAAATAAATGTTCCTTTCCTTTTTTCAGTCGTTCTTTAGTCGGTTCAAGATCTGGGTTAATATCCTTGATCCCACTTCCCTTCTTTCCTCTGATGTAAGTAGCTGTCACTACAGTGTTCATATACTGTGAGATGTGTTGAAGAATATAATGCTTAACAAGTGACGCTTCTCTCTGCAGGCCACAATAAAGAGGGCTCATGGTCTGCTTGGAGGTGGACAGAAACTAGATGATTGGGTCAGATTCTTTTTTTTTATTACTTGAATTAGCTATGGTCAGATGTATGTATTTATTAAAATCTGTTTGTTTCTCCCTGTAGGATGAAAAAACAGTCACCCTATCACTTGTAAGTTTTGAAAGAAAAAATGTCTCTGAATGAATTAGAATTCAGTCATGTTTTCCACAATAAACCTCCAGTTCAACTTTATATTTCTTCAAACAGAACCTTTACTTAATTACAAATTTATTTTGTATGTGCTGCTTTTTAATGAGCGCTCTGTGTTTACAGTCATCTGTCCATGCTGACTCTGGTGATGTTCTTCCACTTATGCTCCGCCCTGTAGGTGTGGTAAATCTAAGCTTTGACACATAGTTTGCATCCATTATTAAATATGTTCACATTTTTATCATGTAACAAGTATAACAACTGTATCACTAAAATAGATACTGATGCCCTTACTTCTGTTATTTTTTTATAGCATTTTTGTCCACATCAGCACCATTGGTATGTTGGTCTAGTAAATATATATAAAATTAATGACAACTTAAATTGTTTTTTGAGATAAAGGTTGTTATACAAACAAATCTCTTTTTCAGGTGATCGCCAGCTTTTTGCCTCACACCAATGTGAAATATGCTCTGCTCTGGCAGGTAAAAGCATATTCATCATATTAATAAAAGTGCAGTATATTACATGTGGGTATTATAACACAGTTCATTCATGTTTTAAAAAAAAAAGCATTCTTTCAGTTTTTCCTGCAGAGTTACCAAACTAGGTTCACCCTTGCAAACAGAAATTCGTCATCAGAAAAGGTAACGTACATTCTGTCCTACCACATTTTGTACGTGTTTTTATGACAAACTGTACTTTGACATTTTGAATAATTATTTTTGTCATACTATATCATGACATTGTTCATGTTTTGTATGAAAAACTATACTTTACATTTTGTATTGTTTTTTTTTAATGCATCTTTACTATTACACTTTAAAAATATTTTGAAATATTTTGAAACCCGGAAGTGAGTTAGCATTTTACCCTGATTTTACCCTATGATTTTACCACTACCGGTTCCCTCGTCTCAGAGCCAATGGGATTTCTCCATAGGATTTTGGAAAATAGCTCGAAATAAGGTCTGTGTTTGACACAAATTTAAGAGACGGATCACGTTTTGTTCTACGACATTAAATACATCAGCAGTGACCCCACTGATGATTTTTGAAGAGTTGACGTGTCTGAAAAACGATGGTTGTTAACAAGTGGCTGAATAGGACTACAGAAGTTGTGGGGACGTTGTACGTCATTACACCGAACACGTAAACACTCCTGTTAAGTTTGTTTGCCCTGTTCTGCTTGAAAGCAAGTACCTGCGCTTTTTGCAAACTGTTTAAACAAACGTTTTAACTTGTACAATTTTGAATCTGTATTTTTGAATATCGATCTTAAAGTTGGGTAGGTAATTTTGGAGAAGTGTGCTAGAATTTGAAAATACACAGCCGGACAGAGCCCCTCCTCCAACACACACACACAAACGCGCACATGACCAATGAGAGCACGAGATAAGTTTGTGCACAGATGGAAGGCTGACAGGCAGGTAGGCCATCCAGTTATTTTAGCCGGGCCGGTTAAAATGATTGGTCGTGCTTTTTACAGTACTACGGCTTCCACAGATGACATTGTTTTTTTGTCAAAGCACTTAAGATATTCATTGCTATCGTACGGATTGCTATCGTATCGTACGTATCGTACACCCTTTTCACCCCGGATGCATAAATAAATAAATGTTAAGGTAAAATAAGATATGAATGAACACAAATAAAATAATTTACATTCATTTGTTATTGGCTATGGTAGGTTATTGGTTATGTTCACATGCTTATTTGATTACATCCTCTTGTCTAAGATGACATCAGAGACTTTCGACCCAAACCCAGCTGTTGACTTGTGGATGCAAGCAGCTAATCGCAGACCCAACCAGAGAGGAAGAAGTAGGCGTACATCATCAGCTACCATGTCTGACAGAGAGGAAGACAGTGAGGAGAACAGTGAGGAGAGTAGTGATGACAGCTTGTAGGATTACTGGTCGTGCTAATGTTGTCTTGTGTTCACCTCTGCATGTTCTGTGTTCACCTCTGCATGTGTGAGTGCCGTGTGTCTGGCAAATAAAGTCAAGGTCCCCCTCAAAAGTTACGGTTTATTTCATTTTGAGCACCAAGCAACATCTCCAGGTGCTCCTTTGAGAACCAGGGCAAAAAAGTTATGTGCAATAGGCACGTGTCTTTCACATAAGTGAAAGACACCTCAAGAGAACACTCAGAGCGAGGGGACATGCACGTCCCTCTGAGCTGAGTTATTGACAGATTCGAATTTCGCGGATCAATAACTCATGAACATAACGTAAAAATACAAACAACATGACTTTACAATCATAGCAAGGTAGACGACGAGCTACAGATTCGTTTTTATCAGAACAGTTCGCCGTCATCCGAGCTAAACATCAAGAATTGGTCACAATCTGCAGCTTGATGAGGGAGAGGGGTGCAGGGACCGTCTACAAACGGCAACGGGGTTTTGCAAAACCTTTGCGAGATCTCGCAATTTTTTTTCAAATTATTTCCTTTTTCTTCTCCATGTCCCCTAGGGGGCTCCGTACTATCGGGATGTTAAGAGCATTCTATGAAATATAACAAAGTGTATCTCGAGCCGGTTTCTCAAATGTACCTACCCCACCTTTAAATTGGCGTGACGTTGAAGTCGTGCGACCCCTTTATAGCGTTAGCATTTTGCTTCTGGCCATTAGATTTATGATTATAAAATTATAAAAGTACGGTAGACATGTGGATATTATCCGGCTGAACAAAACGTGCATTTATCAAACAGGTTCGTTTTCCACAGACCTTATTTCGAGCTATTTTCCTAAATCCTATGGAGAAATCCCATTGCTTTTTTGTCGAGGGAACCCATGCGCAGCTTATTTCCGGGTAAATACGTCTTGCAAGATAATTTTATGATATACCATGCTCTGAATTTGTTACAATGTACTACGATATCACATTTTTATGACCTATTATACTTTGACATCTTAAACATTTGGATTATGTGCCATATATAGGAAATGTTCTGTATGGCATACTATACTATCACATTTTTATGACTTACCATATTATGACTTTTTTATTATTTTGTTATGCCATACTATATTATAACATCTGTAACTAAATTAATTAGATGTTTGGCATACTATACTATTACTTTTTTATTATGTTTTTGACAGTGTACTATACCTTTTGCTATGACATACTAGGATTTTAATATTCTTTGAATGCCTTAATATACTTTGACTTTTAATGAAATTTTTCTGGCATGAGTGCATATGAAGCTTTCAGTCCTTCTCTGTTCCTGCTCCTCTTCATCTCTCCCCACCAGAGTAAGAAGCTGTCTTCGAGGCAGCTTCTGTTGAGCGCTGGAACCGTTTGCTATGCAACATGTGCAGGGGTGTGTATAACCTGATTGTAACAATGGCATCTGTGCCATGTTTATTATGATGTGTCGAGTAAACTTTAGAAAATGCTGCTTTTTAAAACCTTTTTTTTTTTCAGTCCCTTCCTCAAATTATGATTTATAATCTTGGTGTAAGTAGTGAAGTAATCAAGGCTGTCTTAAGGACCATGCTACCAATCCCTCTCTCAGGTAAGTATCTAGGAAATATAAATACTGTTCCATAAATACTTTATTTTGCATGTCAGGTAGTATATGTGTAAATTCCCGCCAAAGTAGACAAAAACGTACCATTTAATTGTGGATCCAGTATTAGCAGGCAACTAACATGTATGTGTACCTCTCTCCAGCTGCTGTGGCCTTCATCAGTGTGTACACTGTCAGAAGTGAAGAGTCACAAACTGGGATCAAAGTGTTTGATTCCAATGGAAATCTGGTCGGCCTTTCTAAAGCAGCGGGACAAAAGGTTAACGAAAGAAGAGCAAAAGGACAGAAATACACATTCCTTTCTTTTTGAAACATAGTTAAATTGTTCTTTATGTCCAGGCTGTGAAGGAGACTGCACTGTCAAGAGCGGCGCTGTTCGGTACAACCGCTGCTGTCCCTTCCCTCCTGATAACACTCTTATGGAGGTCAGTCACGTTTACAATAAGTTACATTTACCTGGTCGGACGGTCAGATTTAACCAAATAACTTGTCCTTTTTTAGAACAAGAGTGATCCAGAAGAGCTCTGTGCTGATCGCTCCTCTCCGTTACATGAGTGTTGCGATTGGTTTTGGCTTGATGATCCCTGTCTCGTTCAGTCTCTTTCCACAGCTGGGCACGGTGAGATTCAGATCCTCCTGTACTGAAATGGTTTCCTTGTGATGAACTCAGCTGACGTTAGCCTTGTTTTACAGATAAAAAAGGAAAACGTGGAGAAGAACCTGCAGAAGGCAGCTTGCGACGGACTGTTATACTACCATAGAGGACTCTGAGGACCTATAAATACACAAATCTACCAAAACACAGGTTGCTATTACTCGGTAGTATTATAATAAATGTCTTCTTTAGCATCATGCAGCTGAAAATGTACAACGCATGTAACACACTCAAAGATGCCCAATTGAAAAAATACAGTTTGAGACATTAAAACAGTCAAAACGCTTCTTTTTTTATTTTAAATGTATTTATCTGGAATATTAAATTGTATTATACATAGGACATATTACATGAATTCATTAAAATATATTTATTTTCCAAACCATCTTTTTGGCAATGTGCTGAAAAAAACACTCGCCTGTAAAACAACAGCGCTAACTCAACGTGGATAAAAAGAAAACCTGGACATTAAGACACATGATTCAGTATAAATCAATATGGACATGGAAACACTAATATTTGATCAGCTGCATTTTGATGAACACCTTTCGATAATGTTTTTTAAAAAGCCTTGTCCATCACGATATGCTTGTTTTTAAGTCATTAGTAAAATACAAAATGTGAGTTTAAAAAAATGATATAAACACACACATTATGATCCGATAACCACAAATGTAGTTTCTATCAATAAGCTCTTTAATATTAACTGCATTTCAGCTCCTGCGTATTTATATTTATATCTCTTTACAGCGTTTGCACAATATTCCCATAAAGGTGATGTATGTACGTGCCGCTTTGCACTGTGGGAGCTCAAATCTGGGAGGATTATTAGATGTACCAGCTGAAAAGTACCAGTTTATTTTCCTCCGTTTCACAGTTAGAGAAAAACACTGTAGATCCTTAACTACTGATTTAAAAAACAAGGCTAAAGTTATGAAATATTTTTATGTCATCAAATCCCATGAACACACCAAAATCAGCAGTCAGTGTCCATCTTACTTTTTTTGGCACTTGGTTCCAAGCCCACTGATACATGCAGCAAAACTAATGTATTGTTGAATTTATCAAATAAAAGGCTATTTCCTTAAACAGCTGGGCAGTGTAAATGTTAACAGCTACCTCAAATAGGATCAATTGTGCACTTTTTGGGACTATTTTTTAGCTGTGGATGAATACACATTTGGTGCAGTAGTGAGTATTATAGTCAGCAGCAGTGACTCAAAAGCATTGACAGTGCCCATATTCATGGTAGTAAAATGCAACATTTAGGATTCAAGTCATCGTTGTTTTGGTCTTTTCAAGGGATTTGTTGACAATCAAAAATATATAAACATTTATTTATTGGTACGAGTACGACCACAGGAGATGTCCCGACATATTGAGAACAGCAGAGCCAGAGTCCATGCTGTAAGAGACGGTAACATCATCCTGCAGCAAGGAGTCTGAAAAATAAAAAACTATATCCGTAAGAGCTGCTCGGCAGCTGCCAAATGAAAGAGGAAGTTCTCTGTGGCCGGGGGGAAATGATGCAGCTTTAAACTTTCCAACGTGATTTTAGAGTCTTCACACTGATCAGCCAGGGCCGCCAAGTTAGCCAGGATCTCTTTAGTCTTCACAGAAATATCCTGTGAAGTAATGAGTGGGTGTCAGATTCAGGACGTTAATTCTTGATTTCAGACGTGTGTTCTGAGGGAATCTCACCTTGATGACCTGACTGTCTGACCTCTCAGCATCCTCCGCAGACTGCACAATGAGAAGTCCCACGTCTTTGTGCAACTTCCCCATAGCCATGGCCTCTGTGGGGGGGGGGGGGGAGACTTCACATCAGTCTCAGGAAATGCTGTCCTGCTCTCTGTAGAATCAAAGGGCTCTTAAAAACATACTGCTTTCTCTCTGAACATACCTTTGGCACTCTGGGATACTGTGATGACGCTGTCCGGGAGGTTCACATAAACATCAAACAAGTCCGATCTGTTGCTCACTTCTGGATCTACAAACCCCGCTACATATCCTGCGGAGAAACATATTGGTGGGTGAATAATTCATTTCCCCAGCTTGAGATCTCAGAGCAGATGGTGGTTTATCATCAACAGAGAGGAGGAGAACTGAGAGTAAATAAAGAATCCTCACCGGGGCATTTCTTCAGATCCTCTAGTTCAGTATCAGTCAGGTGAACGTACGGGTGGAGGATGGACCAGTCCTTCCTGTGCCAGGTCAGAGTGGGCAGGACTCTGAGGGGACACACACAAATGCGGCTTTCACACCAGCGCTTTTCCCTTTCAGCTCCGGTTTCCCTTTTCTGCTCCCGCTCTGTTCACACCGCCCAGCACCCGACTGGTGCTGCCGCTGCTGCGTCATGACGTCACCGTTTACATCGCTGATTTGCTCCCCAACGGCATTACGGCGCTCACAACAACAACAACAACTGCGTCGGGTCGATGATCGTGTTGCTTTTAATCACACGAAGCCAGATTAAATTTAATAACGACTTCTCCAACCTTATACTTTGCTCCAGAGTGCCGTGGTTCATTGTTTATTAATGTGTTTCTGCAGCATTTACCGACCGAGTTTATTCTCCTCGGTTAGCTCACACTGCTCTAAAGTATTCACTGTCCGACTCACACAAGCAGCTGATACATATCCCCAGTTCCCCTTAGCCTAAGTGAATGTGTGTCAGTCTGAATTGACGCTGTTTGGTATCACAACGCTGTTATGAAAGTTTCTCTGGTATAAAATGGGTGATGTTAGCATAGCAACCGAAGCTAAACTGACTACTTGCTATTGCTATCCTATTGTGGCATAAACCGTTTTCTACAGGCACATTTTACCGGCGTATTTTTATTATGATTCTACTTGTGATAGTCGGACACGACAACCTGTGCAGCCCATGTATTGATTCCATCCGATAGCTGCTATAATACAAAACAAAAACGTCTGCCTCTCTCCACAATGATCAATAACAGTGAACGGATGGTCAAAGTAAGGTACAAATAAACAGAATCACACGAAGCCTGGTTAGTGTTGCCTGACTTTATAAAGTGTGTTTATAAGCACTACAGCTTGTAGGCAGGCATGACAGTCGACCCATGTTCAGGGGAGGAGGGTTTAGTTTCCTGCACGCCTCGACGTAAGAGAGACGTAAGCGACGCCACCTCTTAGCTCCGAAGCTCTTGCCTCTAGACCGACAATTTTTTGGAGCTGGAAGTGAATCCGATTCCGGAGCTAAGAGCCGGCGCCGCTGCGGTGTGAACAGGAAAAACCGGCGCTTTTCAGGCTCCAGCTCCGAGCCGGAGCTGAAAAAGCGCTGGTGTGAAAGGGGCAAAAGAGTTACACACGGAGGAAAATACTCACCTCAACAAATACAAATGTCTAGCTAAATAATTGGAAAAGGGATGCCAATATCACTGAGATAACACATTTTACATCTTTGGATTTTGAAAGAGTTCATGACATCAATCAATCAATGTTTATTTATATAGACATACAGTCTATGCGCACCTGAGGATAATAAGACTTATTGTTTTGAGCAAAGATGGATAATTAAATTTTCCATAGCTCTTTTTCTAACCAAATCTAACTGATCAAACTGTTATCACAGTAATAGTTATGACTCATTTGGGTTGTCTTTCTCTATCGGAGTTCTTAGATGCAGCACTTGTTAAATAATTGCAATCAACTGGGCTTTCTATTATCTGCAAGACTTTTAATTTTAGAATTATACATATTTGATTCTGTAATTCATCTGCTCGATTTATATTGCCATCCTTAATTTGAGTCTAAATCGCACCTTGTAAACTCCAGCAAGGCTTCAATCCGAGGGTGATGGACAACGATCCTCTTCTTCAGCATGAGAGCCGTGTACAGGATGATTGTCTCCAGGCCAAACTGAGACACCACGTCTAGAGACAAAGAGAGAACGCAGACATGAAGTGCACTGGATGACCTGCTTTTACTCCTTAGGAATCCGAAAATGGACACTGACAATGGGTGACAATGGTTTCACATCGGTTAAATTGATTCCTTGCGTCCCTCACTTGCGTCGTTTCCCTGCGACTAGTCCCTCCCACCAGGGAAGCATGGAGGGACGCAAGGAAACCACGAGAAGCAGGGAAATGAGTTTTAAGAGCAATGGGACGTCCTTTCCTCCGGAGCGTCACGTGAAGCGAGGTCCGTTTGTGATGACGCTGCACAGCTGATTGTCTGACAGCAGCTTTGTCCCCGTTATTTCCACACAGACCCCCACCTCTGTTAGTACACATTTACTGACATATACATTTGTATCATCTGTTGTAGACCCAAATACATTAAATAAGTACTCATTCTCAAAAAAGATAAACGCCATTCTTAAAATGGAAAAACGAAAAAAGCGATCATGAAAATGTTTCCAATAAATGAATAAAATAATTTTTGACCACTTTGTTGTTCAGATATATCACATATTTGTAACTAAATGATACATTAATTGAAACAAAACACGGTATAAACTGAGGAGTGACTCTCGTGAGTTTCATGTGTTTTCTTCACTCCGCTGGGAAACTGCTCTCATGTCAAGAAGCATCAGATCAGTGCATGCACTGCATCGTCCAATCAGTGAGCGATACACAGTAAGGGGGCGGGGCGAGTGGCTGAGGATTTCACCGGAGGATGGTCTGGTGGTTCCTCGGTTATATATAGAAATTGTATTCATTGGGATAAACCCCTTGAGATGCACCATCTCGTTTTCAAGGGGGTCCCGACAATAGCAACAACTTACAGACATACATAAACAAAAAGACAAAATGCAAAACATGACACACAAGACAAACCACATACAGTCTGTTAATTATTATTATCGCTCCTCGATCCTCGGTACAAATAAGGCCACTGGGACACTACTCAAGATGGCGCAGACAAATCAACTTCCGGTGAGACCGAGACCGAGGAGCGAGGAAATGAAAAATAAGAGAAGTGAAAGCACCCAATGTTTTAAAACAGCTGTCTGTAAGATCAGATGACAGATCATGTGACACTTACAGTAAATTGCTTTTTTCATCTTTTTTGTAGATTACTTCTGAAGATAATTGATAGCTTTACATAATATTTTGGTGGCTTCTTAGCAAATCTGCTGCATATGCACACACCACTTTTCAGTTGTTTTACTAGAGTTTTTTTAAAGCTACCTTTTTCCTTTCACGTCACCAATTTTTGACTGTTTTGGTTGGATACATTGCATAAAAAGCAGATAAAAAACATTTATATTCCAGGTTGTATTGGAGCAAAATAGTGAAAATAATGTGAATTATTTTGCAGGGGAATGTACTACAGTGACATGAACAACGTATTAGTAGGACTTGTTTATTTTTATTTCTGCATGAAAGTTTAACAATCACAAAAGGATCCCAACATACTGGTTAGTGTTCCTCTTGAGAGACTGAGGTGTCTTACCTTTGACTGAACCAGCTAAGAAGGCTTTCCGAATATCGTAGTCCTTTATTAGAAACGAGCCGTTTTCATCACTCTGGCAAATTCCTTTGGTGAGGACGGTGACGTAAGCCTCCATCATCTTCACTGGGCTGCCATGTTTGATGTACATCCTGGAGAATACACAGTAACACATCCTTCAAATAAAAAACCCTCTTGAAATAAAAGTGTAACAACAGTGTTATCTGAGCTGAACACTGTACCTGCAGAGGATTCTGCTGAGAGCAGCATACTTCTCAGGGTTGAAGTCTTTTGCCGTAACAACTATTGAAAAATGAGTGACCTTGAAGGGAGAAAAAAAGAGACAAACAATAAACTCTATAGAAAGATAGAAAAGTAACTCATGTTCCTTGATGGAGATTCTAGTAGCAGCTGACTCTCTGGACAGCACCTTGTTTAGCGCTGTGGGTTCCTGCACCTCCACAGTGCTGATGTAGAACCAGGTGCGACAGAACTGCCCGAACACAAAGGTGTGGAACTCCCGGCTGTCCTGAGTCAGACAGCACTTGCTGAGCAGGACTTGCCTCAGGTCTGAGCTCACAGAGGGATAGCACCACACCCACAGAGTGTCTCTGTTCACATCTTTCTCTGGGCAGAGGGAAAGAAAACCAAATAAAACATCATATGCTAAATGTCATAAAAAATAGATAGCCAGTAAAGGGAAAGTTACCATTTTTTAAAAATAGGATTGTATGAATAAGTCCATAGTCAGTGTATACCTACAGTCGATGACTGTTGGCATGCACACACAGGAGTACTAGCATTGAAGCTAAGCAATATCCTGCTGTGAATGAGGGCAGCAACATATTTAAGCCACCTACAAAAAGGGCCACCTTAAAAAGTTAAAATCCATTCAGTGTATGCCATATTAAGAATGTATTCACTGTTTACCTTTTCATCAGTGAGCCCTTTCTGACTGAGACCTTATGCCGTTAAAATCCACTTATGCTCTCTTCACAGCCACCATTGACCAAACAGTTCGGTGGACCAACAACGTTAGTTAACAACGTACAACCAATGTTTTTTTTAATATATGTGTTTGGTGGCTTTAAAGAAGACAGATAACTACTTCAGATCCCTGTCGAAAGTTGTGTCTGACCTAAAGATTAAAAGACTAAAGAAATGTTTCTTAATATAGTGCACATTAAAACTGATGTTTTAGGTGGCCTTCCTTTTAGTTTGCTAAAATATATTTAGCTGTTGCCAATTTCTAAAGCAGTACACGGCGTTCCTTCTATGCTGGTGCTCCTGCCTACCAAACTGGGGGGCATGGAGCTCCATCTACTGCAGCAATACACTGATAAGTCACTCACACAATCCGAACAAACCTTTAACATACTGTCATGACAGGCAGAGCTCCCTGGGAGCAAATCGTTATCACATGGGGCTCCGTGTTATGGGATGCGTTTAGGAACTCATTGACCCTGACATGCAGGATCAATTAACCAATGAGGGACATGCAGGCCTGCTGATGAGACAGTTTTGGGTCACACTGATGTCATGTGATTCTCCTGCATGTAATGAGGCGCGAGCTACACTAGAAATCCTAACAAGAGACGATTATTGAAACGAGACTTACCGATTAATCCAACGCTTAACATAAGCTGTGTTTCAGTTGCTGCCATATTCCATACCTGAAGGAGTTGAAAAGCACAAGTTAAATGAAGAGAAAACAACAACAATCCCCTTAGGCACGAACTAGTGTCACTGTGAAGTACCTTGAGAACTCCTGCTACTTCCGAAAATCACAATGCGATGCAGGACAGATGTATTAGGACAGTAAAAGTGTTGTCAGTGGCCTGGGTGTGATTTATGCTGCCAACAGACTTTCCTCTCTGTGCGACTTCTGGTCTTCCTACTTCCGGGAAAAGGAGGATTGTGCAGGAGGAGGAGACACGGTGCTGACAGCCAATCATAGCTGCCGAGACTTCCGCTGTACTGGTGTGTTCAAGGTTGCTGAAATTATTCGACTTTTTCTCAATTGAGCAATTTCTCATGGTATAAAGATCTCTACATAACAGCAATATAATCAAATCCATAACATAACACTTTAAATCATTCTGAAATACACTAAACTCAGTTTTAATTGACTGTCCATAGCAAGTCCATGAACAATGACCTTTTGATAGATGTTTTGAATTTGAAGCAAGTCATTAAGCCATAATGCTTCAGAATACATACATTGTTAATTGATCAGCATCAGTATCATCACCAACTGCACAATTATTGGTTTTAAATCAAAAAATAATTGCAGTAACAATTCACTGCAGACACATAATACAGCTACTACTAACAACTAAGTGAGTCACCAACCAAATACCTTTTGGCATCCAGTCCTTGTAATACAAATATTTAAATATTCTAAAATGAAACAACTATAACCTATGTATCAAAATCCTTGTGTATGAAAATACATGATTATCGTCTAAACTTCTGACCTGGATCAGTCAAACTTTGTACATCAGCTCTGTAATATAACCTGATTGTCATAAAATATAAATGTTGATGTTGATATTGTTTTAAGAACTCATCATATGAATGACACAGGATATCCTTAATCTCTATCGGTTGATACTGAGTCTAGTTTGCAGTGAAGGCTACATAATTGGATATAATCGACATGTAACCAGGGTTACCTGAACACACCACCGGGCGAGCGCAAAGGGGAACTTTATATACACCCAGGGTTGCCAGGTTTGTTGAAACCGCTCTTGTATTGGTTTTGGTTAAAATTAAGGCTATTAAAAATAGATTATTTAGGATTAGGCAATTCCGTACACTTCATGGTATTTCGTTATATCTTATTTCAAACACTTTATTTAGCTGATACTTGTTTTTAAAGTATCAACTAAATAACCCATGGACACTACCAGTGTGGCAACACAATTAATAATATTTGGTCAAAATACAGACAAAAACACATAATCAGGACAATAAATGCTGAAACCACAACATTTTAACTTAAACACAAATGCCACAGAAAGTCAGTGGCTGTTAATAACAGTTTTTAACCATGAAGTCTATAAAAGATGTGCCTAATGATTACATCTGCACAAAATAAGTTTAAGAGATGTTTTTTTTTACAAACAGACTGTGATTAGTTTACAAAGTTTACATATATGAATATTAAGATGTAAACACCCTGAGAATACGGATGGATTAAACCTTAATATTTAATAATGTTTCGCACTCAGTCCCTTCACGTGTAAGAGGGATAGTGCATGACTGCTCTGGCAACCCTAGCAAGGCCGCTCACGAGGCTCTTCCTTTCTCAGCCAGCACCGTATCAGCGGGTGAGTGCGTGGCGTGGATGGACTGGTGAAATTTGTCAAAATTCACTCTACTCAGCCAATTTGAGTCTCACTAGAACGCCGCAAACATGCCGGCGTATTTTCAAAGGCCGGAGAATGCTCTGAAACGAGCGAACGGTAAGTGGAAAGACAACATCATGTTGTTCAAATGTCAGACATTCATGCTAACAAGCTAACGGTAGCTAGCCTTCGTCACTGATGCTCCGCTAGTTAGCCTAGCATGCTAGTAAGGCGGGTAAGCCATATGTGTTCACGGCTTCATTAAGCTAACCGGCTCTGCGATGTTTGTTGTACTGACAATTGATTGCGGCAGTGACACAATACACATCAGTATTTAGGTGGTCATCAGATGACAGTTAACACTCGTGTCAGCTTTATCACTGTTTTGACATTGCCTCAGCTGTTGGTGCTTTTTGTTCTTGTAGCTTTGATGCTAATGTCACGTTCACCAAGCACCACGGGCCTAACAATGTCAGGCTGATTTAGCTAACCACGGTAATAGAGCTAATGCGAAAATCCTGTGGTTTAGTGGTTATGCTATGTTTTGAATGGTTATGAAGCTAATGTTGGTCTATTTCTGGATGTGTTTACACAGAGTTTCTTGAGGTTGACAAGAAGCAGCCAGCTTTGGATGTTTTGTACGATGTCATCAAGAGCAAGAAACATCGAACATGGCAGAAGATCCACGAGCCCATCATGCTCAAATACCTGGAGCTCTGCGTGGATCTTCGCAAGAGCCACCTGGCCAAGGAGGGTCTCTACCAGTACAAGAACATCTGCCAGCAGGTGTGTGAAATGTGTTATGTTTGCACAGATGGGGTAGTTGCTTTTGTCAGACTTTTTGGAAATTAAAGTGGAACATCTTGCTTTCAGGTGAACATCAAATCTCTGGAGGATGTGGTTAGGGCTTACCTGAAGCTGGCGGAGGAGAAGACTGAGACCGCTAAGGGGGAGTCCCAGCAGATGGTCCTGGATATTGAGGATCTGGACAACATCCAGACTCCTGAAAGGTGAGGATGATCAAATGCAGAATATGTTTCGGTGAAGCATAAAGGGGCTTTAATATCAATAGTTGGACATCGTTTAATTTACAGATAGAAAAAACTGAATCTAAACGTATCGTTTTGTCCTGTGTTATCCAGTTTACTGGTTTCACTTTTAACACTAAGCTTGTTGTCACTTTAGTGTTCTCCTGAGTGCTGTCAGTGGAGAGGACACTCAGGATCGTACCGATCGCCTGCTGCTCACTCCTTGGGTGAAGTTCTTGTGGGAGTCCTACCGCCAGTGCTTGGACCTGCTGAGGAACAACTCCAAGGTGGAGCGCCTGTACCATGACATCGCCCAGCAAGGTATTGACACACATGGAATACTTTTTATTAAAGGTGGGGTAGGTAAGTTTGAGAAACCGGCTCGAGATACACTTTTTGTTATATTCCATGTAATGCTCTTAACATCCCGATAGCAATGAATATCTTGAGTGCTTTGACAAAAAATCCATAAAAAGATGTCATCTGTGGAAGCCGTAGCGCTGTAAAAAGTACGACCAATCATTTTAGCCGGCCTACCTGCCTGTCAGCCTTCCATCTGTGCACAAATTTATCTCGTGCCCTCATTGGTCATGTGCGCGTTCGTGTATGTTGGAGGAGGGGCTCTGTAAGGAAGTAGCAGATTTTTTCCGGCTGTGTATTTTTAAATTCTAGCGCACTCGAGCCGGTTTCTCCAAAATTACCTATCCCACCTTTAAAGATGTTTTGTTTGTATTACATTTTCTATTGTCTAAATTGCTACCATATGTCCAAATGATAACCTATGTACAGGGCTGCACATAACTGGTGCGCAGGTGCGCACCTCGGCCAAAAAAAGAGCACCGGGTCATTTGAAAAAAGGCGCATTTGCGTACCAACATTGAGAGAGAGGGAGAGAGAGAGAAAGATATTTGCGAGTTGCATATGAACTCGGGGCCGGCCCGTAGCACTGGCGTTGATTTTCGCCTAGGGCGCCAGATCTGTGGAGGCGCTGCACTGGTAGTTCTGGGAGGGGAAAAAAACATTTTTGACCGTTGGGGCTCTTCCTAATTTTCGGCCTTGATGTAACAATATTCATAATTAAGTAAATGTAACACCCTTTTCATCCCGGTTACACGTTTCATTTGACCTGTACGATGGGCACTGTACGTGATGAAAATGGGGGATGTTGGCTTATCTGGCGCCCGCAGCTCACAGCCAAAGTGCGAGGGAGAGAGGGAGGGTGCACCGCCCGGTACCGGCGCTGTTGTTATTATAATCTGGTGCTAGCTGCGGATATAAGAAGAAGATGTTTCTAGAATAATGTGGAGGGAGAGTCCTCTCCAGTCAGACTGAGAGGCTGATAACTACAGCTCAGTGAGGTAAAGGACTCTGAGTGTTTAGATAGTTCACTTTAGTCTAAGTTCAAAAGGTTTGGTCACAATTTATGTAAACACATATTTCCAAGGCACTCCTTTATAATTATTGGGATAAACAGGTTTTAAATCATTTCAATGTATATACTATAGGACAGTAACCAAAAATATCCTTTAAAACTGGACTTTCGACCCAAACCCAGCTGTTGACTTGTGGATGCAAGCAGCTAATCACAGACTCAACCAGAGAGGAAGAAGTAGGCCTACATCATCAGCTACCATGTCTGACAGAGAGGAAGACAGTGAGGAGAACAGTCAGGAGGGTAGTGATGACAGCTTGTAGGATTACTGCTCGTGCTAATGTTGTCTTGTGTTCACCTCTGTGTGTTCTGTGCCGTGTGTCTGGCAAATAAAGACCGGTTTATTTATTTCATCTTAAGGATGAGCACCAAGCAACATCTCCAGGTGCTCCTTTGAGAACCAGGGCAAAAAAGTTATGTGCACCCCTGCCTATGTACAAAAAATGGCATCAGCACCTATTTTTAAATAAAAAACTGTTTCTCATACATCGAGTAAAATAATTAAAATCAAACCGACTAATTCAATAGGTTTCATTATGTAATAAACATTTTAATATTTCATGTGAAAACTGCTTTTATCTATATGGTTTTAATAAGATTATTCCAAGTTATGAATATATTCAAATGTACTCAAAAAGAAAATGATCAAATAGAAATTAAGCCATACATTAAATGTTGAATGTTACAAACTAAATTCTGATAATGACTGGTAATCTTTTTTGCAGCATTCAAGTTCTGCCTGCAGTACACCCGTAAAGCAGAATTTCGCAAGTTGTGTGACAATCTGCGTATGCATCTGGGTCAGATCCAGCGCCACCACAACCAGAGCACGGCCATCAACCTGAACAACCCGGAGAGTCAGTCCATGCACCTGGAGACTCGCCTGGTGCAGCTGGACAGCGCCATCAGCATGGAGCTCTGGCAGGTCTGTACACCATACACTGATTTTATCTCAAGGGATTAATACAACTTATAATATAAAGTGTATGCTCTGTATGAAAACCAAAAGGCAGTATAGTAATAAATACATGTCTTCCAGTGTATTGAAAATGTGACATACTCAAAGTGAAGCATTATAACAATGTAGTACTGTTTGTCTTTTTCCAGGAAGCATTCAAGGCTGTTGAAGACATCCATGGCCTGTTTGCCCTTTCCAAAAAGCCTCCCAAGCCCCAGTTGATGGCCAACTACTACAACAAGGTGTCGACTGTGTTCTGGAAATCTGGAAACGCTCTTTTCCACGCCTGCACCCTCCACCGGCTCTATCACCTCTCCAGGGAGATGCGTAAGAATCTGACCCAAGATGAGATGCAGAGGTATTTTATTTACTATCCGTGTACATCTTTTGCTTTTGGTAGTGAGCAAATGGTTAATGATGCTTATTTTGGATCTTCAGGATGTCCACCAGAGTCCTCCTGGCCACGCTGTCTATCCCCATCACCCCCGAGCGCACAGACATTGCTCGGCTGCTGGACATGGATGGCATCATTGTTGAAAAACAACGCCGGCTGGCCACCCTCCTGGGCCTGCAGTCTCCACCAACCCGGCAGAGTCTCATCAATGACATGGTACAGCATCTGCATATGTTATGTATTCTAGGTTTCAACAGTGTTCCTCAAACCTTTTTTAGTAGGTACAAACAAAACTCTTAATTGTTTGCTTTTGTGATGAGTAAAATGGTTTGAAAAGTGTCTTTAACCTACTCTTGTAAGGCTGTTGGTACATATTGCTAATACGTTTTTATTCTAATGTTTTTATTCTAGGTGAGATTTAACTTGCTGCAGTATGTTGTACCCGAAGTGAAGGAACTGTACAACTGGCTCGAGGTAGACTTTCACCCTCTGAAGCTGAGCGGACGAATGACCAAGGTAAACACCTTGCAACAACCAGCTTTATAATACGGACATTATAGAATCCATTTTTGTCATTTTAGTTGCAGTTCATTTACAAAACTTTTGGATGAATTGATTGTAGTTGGTCATGTTTCATTAAAGCACATGTTAACACACGTATTCTCCCACCAGGTGCTGAACTGGGTGAGAGACCAGTCTGAGAAGGAGTCTGATCTGCAGCACTATGTCCCTCACCTGCAGGGTAATACCATCCTGAGGCTCCTGCAACAGGTAATTGACTTCACTCTTTTCCTTCCACTGGAATGCTCTCCTTAATCCATTCTTAAAATATAATAGCTGAATCCCTCAAATGTGTTCTCCATTGGTTTTATTAGGTTGCACAGATCTATCAAAGCATCGAGTTCACCCGCCTGGCCTCCCTGGTTCCCTTTGTGGACGCCTTCCAGCTGGAGCGCTCCATTGTGGATGCTGCCCGCCACTGTGATCTGCAGGTAAGGTCAACCCAAGGAGAGATCCATAAACTACTGATCAACCGATACAAATTGTATAACAGTTGAGTGTGTTTTTAATTTTTACTGTTTTGTACAATTCATCAAAATGTGCTGTTCCCTGTAGGTCCGTATAGACCACACCTCTCGAAATCTGAGCTTTGGCTCCGACCTGAACTACTCGACCAAAGAAGACGCCCCTGTCGGTCCATTCCTGCAGAACATGCCATCAGCGCAGATAAGGAACCAGCTGACTGCTATGTCTTCTTCTCTGGCTAAGGCCGTTCAGGTCATCAAGCCTGCCTCCATCCTGGTGAGTTCCCTTCCAATGAACTCTCATATACAGGCACGCAGAAACAGCAATATTAGCTTTTTACCTACCTGCAAATACAGGTATCTGTGATAATAATTCTATACTAAACAGCATTTAAATATGTCTCCTTCTCAGCAAGAGCGCGAGGAGCAGAGCCAGCTGGCTATGGCTGCCTATCTGAAAAACGCACGCAAGGATCACCAGCGCATACTGGCTCGTAGACAGACCATCGAAGAGCGTAAGGAACGCCTGGAGAGCCTGAACATTGCGCGTGAGAAGGAGGAGCTGGAGCTGCGTGAAGCTGAGATGCAGAAGGTTCGCAAGGCCGAGGAGGAGCGACTGCGCCAGGAAGCCAAAGAGAGGGAGAAGGAGCGCATCATGCAGGAGCACGAGCTGATCAAGAAGAAGACAGTCCGTGAGCGGCTGGAGCAGATCAAGAAGACCGAGCTTGGAGCCAAGGCCTTCAAGGATATTGATATTGAGGTAATATAGATGTAACTCCATGTTGCAATGCATGTTCACTGTCATATTAGGTTTAAAGTTAAGACTAACAAATATGTTCTGTACAGGACCTCGAGGAGCTGGACCCTGACTTCATCATGGCCAAACAGGTGGAGCAGCTGGAGAAGGAGAAGAGGGAACTCCAGGAACGCCTGAAGAACCAGGAGAAAAAGGTAACTTGAGTGAGGCATCAGTGAAAACATCAGTCACTTAGGTGAGAACTGGACACTAATCTATCTTTCTCTCCAGATTGACTACTTTGAGAGGGCCAAACGTCTGGAGGAGATTCCTCTCATCAAACAGGCTTATGAGGAGCAGCGAATCAAGGACATGGAACTATGGGAGCTCCAGGAGGAGGATAGGGTATGTACATACAAATAAACACGTGCATAGATCTCATAAATGAAATGAACCCAGGTGAATTTCTAGAATATAAGATTTGTATCTTTTCTTATTGTAGATCAGTAACATGGAAGTCGAGCGGGAGAAGGCTCTGGAGCACAAGAAGCGCATGTCCAGGATGATGGAGGACAAAGAAAGCTTCTTGGGCAAAATAACTGCTGCTCGTAGCTGTGTCTATGAGGTAAGACTTAGTCCTTTCATCAGCTCATGTTGAGTTACTTGTGGCGCATTTCCACTGCAGCACGTAGCATGGTTTAAGCGGGCCCGTTTTTGGTTGCGTTTCCATTAGGGGTGGTTCCGGCTAACGGCTACTTTTTTACAGTTTTTCGGGCCCTCCAAAATCGCGGTTCTTTCCGGGCCAACAACCGGGCTGAGTATGCTAAACTAGTGAGAGAATCGCTGGCAAGGGGGCTACAACTGTAACAAGATGAACATATTTGACCGTGATTTAATTGTAATACACGTTTCAAAATGATGCCGAAGTAACAACATACTGATACCGGTTAGTAAAAACCATGAATTCATGCTTTGACAAGTCTGCAGACAGACGGCAGGCGAAACACCTTTTTAAAATGCGTGTTTTCTGAATGGAGCTTGGCTAAGCTAACGCAGTATATGCTCCGACCGTCCACACTCACAACAACGGCCTATACAGACATAAATAAACCAGCGACTGTATTCACCATGACACAGGCAGTCTGTGGTTTGTACTTGTTTAACTTTTGTCAAGTTTCTGAACGGATATGAGGAGCTGTGAGCTCTGAGTGCTAACAGCTGATGTTGGTTTTGTGGTTTGCATTGAAGATGAAGTCACTGCTCCGCCTACACTGCGTTACTATAGTTACTGCCCCAGCTACTAAACTGTAATGGAAACGCAGCATAAAGTGAGCCTGGCCTACCGAGGCCTAACTAAGCCGTGCGAGGCCCTGCAGTGGAAATGCGCATTACAGCAGTCATTTGCTTTTTGCAACTTTGCTGGGGCAGAGAAATAGTTTTTTTTTTCTAGGGTGCAGTGGTAACAAATTCACTGTTCTGTCTTTGAAGGAAAAACTGAAAACCTTTGAGGATCGCTTGGTGGAGGAGAGGAAAAAGCGCATGGAAGAAAGGAAGAAGCAGCGCAAAGAGGACAGGCGTAACAACTTCTACCGTCAGAAAGAGGAAGATGCTCAGCGTATCCACGAGGAGTCACTCAAGAAAGGTATTTCATTTCTGTTTTCAAACTTTCATGCTAGGAAGCGAAGGAGGACATTTGGGTGTTCTTTTAGCAGTTGTAGATAAAGTTGTTTTTGGGGTTGTTTCATTGGCCTGATGACTTTCGCATGGGTATTGGAATTGGACATCACAAATGATCAGTCAAGAAAGAATGTTTTTCTTCCAATCAGCGAGGCCACTCCAAGTATATCGCACCCTGTTATATATGTTTTTTATCCAGGCTTAATGCTGTCATTTTGTCAAGGTTTGAACACATAGTTTTCTGCTTCTCTTGCAGAGCGTGAGGAGGCTGAACGCATTGAACATGAGCAGCGAGAGGAGGAGGATCGGGAGTACCAGGAGCGTCTGCGCAAACTCGAGGAGCAGGAACGAAAGCAGCGCGCTCGTCAACAGGAGATCGAGGAGCGGGAACGCCGTCGTGACGAAGAGAAACGGGTCCCAGCCGAGGAGAAACCCAAGGTACAACTAGATTAGTACTTATTTCTTGGCTCATGGTCAGAGCCTACAGTTACTGACAAGAGCAGTGGGAATTCTAGGTTATTTCTCTATATACGTTTATCATGCTATGTTACCAAGGTAAATCTGGACCATACTGCCCTAACCCTACAATTCAAATAAAGAGTTTTTTGAAAAACTACATTTAACTTTATTTTACTGCATTATGAATGGCTTTCAATCAGTCAAATATATAAAATGAGGTAAGGTCACACCTGTGTATACATGTTGCTAGTTAATGAGATCCACCTTTAATTTATCATTATAGTTTAGATGATGGAAAGGAGCACAAATCTATCATGTCAGAGTGAATAACTGAGTGCTAAATAATGGACAGGCCAAAAAAAGTGATGGTGCTGTAATAACACAATGTGTGTTGATCGATATGTTTTGCTTATACAGGATTGGAGCGAAAAGGAGGTTGCAAAGGACACTGAGAAGGAGGAAGGAGGAGGAGGGTGGAGGAAGCGCACAGCTTTGCCTGACAAGTAGGTGTTGGTGCCTCTATTTTCCATAAAAAAATGTCTGTTTGTTTTAACACCATTAGAAAAGAAAAAAAGGGCAGGCTCCCCTAACAATACCTTTGCTCTCTCCAGGGAAAAGAGACAGGAGGATGACAACGAGGAAAGAGAAGCTCCTGTCAGGCGAGCGGAAGGTTTCCGCAGGGATGGAGAAGACAGAGGACCCCGTCGGGGGGGCTTCGATGACGACAGAGCCCCCCGGCGTGGCGAAAATGAGGACCGCCCCATACGCAGAGGCTTCGACGATGACCGCGGTACACGTAGAGGTTTCGAGGAGGACCGTGCCCCGAGGCGTGCTTTCGATGACGACCGTGCCCCGAGGCGTGGCTTTGATGACGACAGAAGTTCTCGCAGAGGCACGGATGACACCTGGGGTCCCAGGAAAGGGGGAGATGATGAAGAGAAGGGTGGAAAGAGAGGCGTTGAAGAGGCTCCACGTCGTGGTGAGGATAACAAAGCACGGCCTGGTAAGCCTGTGGCCTTTCAGCTGGTAATAACTGAAAGAGCTGTCTTAGTTAACTGTAGCAGGATGATGAGAAAATGCATGTGTTGCAGGTGGTTGGCGTGAGCGAGAGAAGGCTCGCGAGGACAGCTGGGGTCCTCCCAGGGACAAGTCCAGGGAGAAAGACGATGATACTGAAGAAGAGCCCAAACCAAGCGAGCGGCGTCCAGTCAAGTGAGCCTCACAGACTTATTCCTTTTTGTAATAATGCGGAGGACATCATGACTACGTTTTCTGCAAGGAGTTGTGTTAATTAGTTTCACAATCTATTCACAGAGAGGAGAGTGTCTGGAGGAGACCCGGCACAGAGGAAGGAGGAAGCAGCTGGAGAGACTCTCGAAAAGAGATCGCTGACAGTGATGATCGTCGAGGAGGGCGTGAGGAGCGTCAGATCGAGCGTCCGCGTGAGGAGCGTCAGATCGAGCGTCCGCGTGAGGAGCGTCAGATCGAGCGTCCGCGTGTGGAGCGTCCGGCCGAGCGTCAGATCGAGCGTCCGGCCGAGCGTCAGATCGAGCGTCCGGCAGAGCGTCCGGCAGAGCGTCCGGCAGAGCGTCCGGCAGAGCGTCCGGCCGAGCGTCAGATCGAGCGTCCTGCCGAGCGTCAGATCGAGCGTCCTGCCGAGCGTCAGATCGAGCGTCCAGCCGAGCGTCAGATCGAGCGTCCAGCCGAGCGTCAGATTGAGCGTCCGATCAGAGAGAGCCGGGATGAGCGTGAAGTCAGAGCCCCACCCAGAGAAACAGAGGATGGTAAGCAGTTAGATTTCAAAATGTAACCGCTGCATGAACATCAGGGATACAGCTTTGCTGCATCATTTGTTTTCCTTAAAAGATGTGAAGTCTTGTTGACCTATGTGGCAGTGTTGAGTTCAACCAACAGAGGTCGCTTTTACCCTAATTTCTGCTAGAGCCTGTGTTTGAGGAAGAGTCTTGCTTGTAATGTCAAAATGTTTCTGTTGAAACCTCTCCTAATGAGCGTCCTTGTTTCCGTAAGGAGCTTCTTGGCGTCGTGGAGGCGAGGAGAAGCGAGAGGAGCGTCCCAAAGAGGGTGAGACCGAGGAAGAAAAAGCCAACGCTCGCCGCATCAAGAACGAGACGGATGATGACGGCTGGACCACTGTCCGCCGCTGAGCCACATCTGCATCCAATTGGTTCAATGAAATTGGTTCTGAAAAATAAATTTGGATTCCCATCAGCCAGTTATAAATTAATGGCCACACGCTTCTAATACTCATGTGCGTTATTACTTTGAATTGAATAATTATAGACAATAGTTTTCCTGGGGATTTTTTTTCTTTTATCTCCATTTCTTTACAGTTGTTTGGACCAGAGGCTCCCACCAGCCAGATCACCATCAACCAATGAACTTGTGTGTGCACTTTGGCCTCATGCAAACCATCAGAGTAAGCAAAGCTGCCCCCAGTGGTTAGGAGTATTATTACCTTACATGAAGAAGTAAACCTAACTATACTGATAACATAATTACCTGCAACAACTTTCTATGAAAATTCAGAGCATCACCAACTGCCTCTTTTTAAATAATTCCCATTGCATAGATGTTATGATATGCCACAGATCCACATCTCCCTGTAAAGGCAATGACATGAGTTGGTCAAATGCGTCAGTGAACCTGTTCAAGAACTAGATACATTTACATTTGATGTGCATGCATTCAATTGATCTCGCCTGATATCCAGTGTGTGGTTTTATCTCTGCAATCAACGGTACCCAACCAGGTTGCATGTCAACAGTTAAAGCCTTTATTAATAAAGATGTTTGCTCACCACCTAATTGTTCATTTAATCTTAAATGACATATCACCTATAATGATAGCATCACACTTATTTGTTTAGTGTACACAAATGTCACAGTTCCCTACGTGGGGTAGGAGGATTAACCTAACCTTATAAAGTAGTAGGAGTATTAATGCTATTATTCATTTTAAGTACCTCTGTAAAAACTAAATTGTGAAAGTACGACTTGACTTGGAAATAGGTGTCCACTTCAACATCTTGGATCCCAGCAGCTGAAGTATTGGATCCACCTGACCTAACTTCTTCCTAGTGCAACACCAGTAAAACTAAACTATTCGTCATCATGTTGTGGACTTGCTGGCTCTTCATCATTTTAAGTTACCCTAAAGCTCTTCAAGCCCAGTTTTGGTTCCATCGTATACACCATTATGTAACTGACCACTAGAGGTCGGTAAAGCTCCGTGCAGAGGACACGCGTCTCCCTGTCAGAGCTGCTCTGGTTCATGTCCACGATCAGCAGCTAACTCAGGAAAACTCAATATGAACATGCATGCAGCGGTCAGTCAGCCACTTAGAAAACCAATAACATCATGTAAGAGTTGTTTAAAAAAAACTTCAACCATACTGAACTAAAACTAAATATTCCGTCACAACAAATGGCTTTGAATGTGGACCTGCCCCATTTTAAAGCGTTGTATAGAATAATGTTACTATAATCATCAGGATAAAAATGCGTTTCATGTGTAAGACATTGACATTTATTTGGTACGATTTTTATATATAAAAAAAGGCACCTTTATAAATTCACTAAAGAAAATAAAACATCCAAACTGCTAACGATTCCTGATCATTACAATTGAATATGACACATTTTAACAATGTCCATTCAGTTGTATTATGTGATGCAGGCCTACAACTGTTGAGGCTTTAGTTCACAGCCTATTGTATTCTACACAGACCTTTAACCTGGCCGCACAAATAAACCGACTGCTCCATAAGCTGTATGAACAATTGTGTCCTATATTCTAGTCATAACAACAATAATAATGCCATACTTAAATAACATGTTTACTTTGACTGCGACTTCAATTTTCTTGCATCTGAAGTCGTTCTAAATGCATTTCAAGATCCCCACCAACACTCAAGAAACATGCAACCAAGCTATACAAACTGAAAGAATATGTATTCAAAAATAAATTAATACAATGTTAATCACAATACGTTTTTTTTTTCATTGTTATGGCTGCATCTTTTAATTAGTGTTTTTTGGTTTTATATGAGCAGCCTTAACTGTGCGTGTTATTAATGTTTTTCATGTCTTTGTGAGGCCCTCGGCGCGCGGCCATGGCTGCAGCCTCGTGCTGCTCTCAGGGGGACAGCTGCAGTCACAGGTAGCCCCTCCAAAAAACACCTGAGCGTTTTCATTCAAAAACACTGAATGGCAACCAGCGACTCATGAGTGGGAAGGTGTAACTGACATTTGAAGACTGACACTATCCTGTTTTATTGACAAAAGCTCGAAATATAAAGTCTACCAGTGATCCCACCCAGCAGAAATTAAGTGCATTCTTTAATTTGAATCGTACTAATAGTATCTGAAGAAAATTAAAAGGAGCTAGGACCAAACAAGAATTAAATACAGAAATTGTTAAAAATGGAGAAATAAATGAAGGCCAATTAAACAGCTGCTGTTGAGTATTATCCGAGCCAGCAGCATCGACTATAATAGACTTTAATAGAGTTGATTTGATGTTTGCGCAACATTGTTGTGCATAATTAAAAGTAATCACTTGCTAATACTAACACTACACGCACACCCACCCTTAAAAAAATCTGTTTGAAGCTGTCATAGCCATTAAATGCAAATAAGCAGGCTACCTTGAGCTTTACTGGTCCAGATGAGTGTGTTAAATGTCCTGGAGATATCTGCGCGTGAGTAAGTGTGTGCGCGCGTGTGGGGGGCTCCTCTGGACGAATCCGTTCCGTGTTGCGCGTTCGAGTCCGCCTCTCCGCGCCCCTGCTTCCCATTGACGCACTTTTTAAGCGTCTTCCCCTTCTCCACCTTAAGGCGAGCAGCAGTGGCAGCGACCAATCACCATGCCATTACAGCCTTCAGAGGAAGCTGTTTATGGGACTGCAGCGCTAATTAGGCTCATGAACTAACAAATCTGCCTGCACGAACCCGGCGAGGAAAACGATCAGAATCCATGGATTAGTCTGGGAGTAGCCGAGCACTTTTTATTTTGTGGCTTTCTCGACACTGCAAACTTATTTACTGCGCAGAAAACTTTCTTCCTTCCTTGGGTGTGGAGTATTTTTTAAAGCGAGAGCGCCTACCACAGCTTCACCTTAAACTGGGGAACCTGGACTATCAGACAATGTTTCAGCCTACACCCAAGAGGTGTTTTACGATAGAGTCTTTAGTGGCGAAGGATAATCCTCTACCGCTGTCCCGCACCGAGGAGCCCATCCGGCCAGCGGCACTCAGCTATGCAAACTCCGGCCAGATGAACCCCTTCCTCAACGGCTTCCACTCCGGCGGCAGGGGCGTCTACTCGAACCCGGACTTGGTGTTTGCGGAGGCGGTCTCTCATCAGCAGAACTCTGGCGCCCAGATGCATTCGGTGGCCCCGCCGCACGCTATGTCCGCTCACCCGCTTTCCTCCGCACACAGTCCGCACCCTCTTTTTGCCAGCCAGCAAAGGGACCCTTCAACTTTCTACCCCTGGTTATTACACAGATATAGATACTTGGGTCACAGATTTCAAGGTAAGTTATCCAAATGCTTCGTTTGGCTTTTTACGCACGATCGGCAGGGGTTTGATTTCCTTCTCTCCATCGAATACAGACAGCATATAAGGAATCCAAATATGTAAAGCTATAGAGAGCAGTTTTTCAGCATGTCATGTCCAAATTTCAGGCCAAAATATGACACGTATTTACCTGATTATTTCGCTAAGAACACGACCGTGTAGTGGATTTCTTCATTTAAATAAAGGGAAATCTCGAGGAAAATGTAAAAAGAAATGTGGCCGTGGCTTCTTAAGCTGTTTAGAGAGACTATTCAAGTCTAAAAAAAGATTACTAGAAATGGTGACTTGTTGTACTGTAGTGGAGGTTATTTTTAGCATTGGATATATGATCTTATCCATGCGTAAAAACGAAACTAATGCTCGGCAGTTTATGCAAAGACTTAACTCACATTTTAAATAAAAATACAAAATGCAACAACTAGGGTTGTTATTTATTTAATCTATGCTAATTATTTCAGGCTGACATGAGTCAGATCTTTGGGTAATTTGGATTTTATTAACTGAGTTGACTTGGCCCCTTGCGTTTGTAGACTAGGAAAATGTGTTTATTATTTAATGATTTTGTTCGCTCATTTTATGGTATTTATATTCGAAAGTATTTTTTTTTTCCTGACAAATAAAAGTAAAATTAACACAATTTAAAGAAATGCATTCTAAATTAATGTAGGCCTATAAAGTGTTTTTACCTGCTGTTTATTTGAAAATGTTCATGCTGTTTCCATTTTACCTGTTATAGTGTTTACATATGCTATTTTTGAGATAATTTAATTATAGGTCCAGGATTACACCCCTGATTTGTGTTTCTTTATCCCTTTACTTCATGCTGTGTCTCACACATTTTAAATGAAAAAGGTCAACAATAGTAAATAATTTAAAATAGCATGTGTTGGATAAATGATCTCAAGTTAATACTTATATCCAGCTCCTTCTCATGTATTGTTATCATGCCGTATTTCCAGTCTGCCCTCTGAGGTACACTATTGTTTCCTAGCTGTGCGCAGGCCTGCTTGTTATGGACATGTTAATATCTTAGAGAATAAAAGAAAGGTCATGACTGATCCTCGTTTTGTGCTCGTTTCCAGGTAATGAAACGAGTCCAGAGAGCTTCCTTTTGCACAACGCGCTGGCAAGAAAGCCCAAAAGAATCCGGACAGCTTTTTCACCTTCGCAACTCCTGCGGCTCGAACACGCGTTTGAGAAAAACCATTACGTGGTGGGAGCAGAAAGAAAACAGCTCGCCCACACCCTTAGCCTCACAGAAACTCAGGTAAGAATTTTTATTTTATTAACATTAAACATGTTGCTGTTTTCTTTGACCTGGGCAGTGCGCTCATTTTATTTTGAAATTGATATATTGCTTTTTGGTGTGTTGTGTCATATTATTGCCATTAGAATTGGCCTATTTGCACTTTATTATTTAGTCATTTAAAATATATATCCCTCACATTATGGCTGGTGGACTAGATGTGATATGTTTTACTTGTGGTCTTAAACGTGGGTCGTGATGCATTTTGAATCAAGCTGGTATATGTATCTTAATGACAACAAAGAATAGACATTTAGCAAGCAAAACAATAATTTTAAATAATCAGCATATTGTTTCTACAGACCAGAGTCCATAAATGCATGTTGTCAATGGCAGACAGAGGCTTTCTGTTGGATCCGATCCACTGTCATTGTATAGGCCTAACCTCATTTTAGGAGGGGTTGAATTACTTTGTTTTGGGGGGAGAATGTTGCCTTTCAAAATGGAGGGCAAATTAACCAGTTAACCATTTTATGGGATAGGCGATACAAAGAGCGAGGCGGGTTCAGTGAATTCCCCCTGCCATATTTAAGATGCTGTTTGAGCCCATCAGCCGCTGTCTTTTGTCCGCCGCGGCTGCTCTGGGCGGCGGGGCCTTTGGAGGGACTGAAGGGAGAAATGAACCATCACCTACTTTAATTGGCCCACGGAAGGCTTATTAAATGCACCTCGGTTGCCATTTAAGAGATAAAAAGGGGGCTGCCGAGTGACAAAGCAGGAACAGACAATTTATCGATTTAGATGTTGTTAATTCCCCGAGGTACCGTTTAACAGAGCTCAGTCGATTTAGAGGACTGTGTGAAACTGTGTGTTAAAAATGTCACTCCTTTATTTCTTATAAACGTTCACATGCTGGCAGAAATACGATTTTTTCGAAACAAATGTTGACCTACTTTACCTAACTTTTCCCAGACATCATTTGTTTTTAAGGGCATATTAAGTGCAGTATTTGTGCGTAAAAGTAATATTATATCAGCTTTAATTTGAGGATTTAAATGCATGGTTGACAATATAATTAACCCATGTTTATTCTGGAGGTTGTGTCCTCTCTGATCACCACTGCAGATCACAGTTTACCTTATTTTGTATTCTCATTCCACAGCTGCCTGCTTACATTAAGCCCTGCTACAATAACAATGTGTCCCTTTTACGCGTGGTTTTGCGCACTGGCCAATCGCGGTTTATCTAGTGACACTGATCAAGTTTCTTTTCTTTTCTCTCTGTTTTTTTCTCCTCTTCAGGTAAAAGTGTGGTTTCAGAACCGGAGGACGAAGTTTAAGCGACAGAAGTTGGAGGAGGAGGGCTCGGAGTCTCAGCAGAAGAAGAAAGGATCGCATCACATAAACCGGTGGAGAATGGCGACTAAACAGGGGAGCAGCCCAGAGGAAATTGATGTCACTTCGGACGATTAAAAAAAAAGAGACTTTATTAGCTTCTGAGTGATGGAGGACATGGATAAAGGATGCCGTGTAGAGACAGTGGGGGGGTACACAGCCAATGTCACATTTCAGATCTCCGGATCGGCAGCTGAGGGTGAGAGAAACCCGACATGTGGCACTGTGTCACCGCGTGGGTCTGTCAATCCAAGTGACCTAGGAAATGTGGCTGACAGTGTCTCAGTCCCCCCACCTGAACACTTCCACGCACCGACCCCCACCACTACAATCTCCCATCTACCGCCACCTCATTTTTTCTCCAATTCATATTGGACGTTTGCACTTCAGAAGGTTTTTTTTTGTGAAAAAACAAAAAAACATTTCCACTCCAAGATACCAAAACACCAAACAGCTTTTGTAAAACTTGAATTGCATGGTATAGTTTTTTTTCTTCTCCTGGTAGTTTTTATTTTTATTTGACACGTTTTTTCTCAAACCAAGAAAAAAAAATCAATATTGTTTTTAACTCTATTTTCAAACAGAGATGTCGTGCTTCTTCCTTTTTACAAAGTGTGCAGTCTTTAATTAATGATTCTCGTGTAAAAGTGATTGTGAAAACATATGAAGTAGCGGTGCTGCGTTATAGTGTTTTTTTGAAAAAAGAAAATAGAACAAAACATTTGAATTTCGATTTAAAACAAAAAATACTTTTAATAGAGTGAATCAGACTACAGATAAAGTACTTAAATGGAAGGTGTCAGGGCTTTCCTTTAACCTAAAGCTTTACCAATGTGTCGCTGTGGCCCCACGCAGCCTTCTGTCAGGACGTCCCTCCAGTGAAAAGTTGCCGCGAAGGACTAAATGCAAGAATTGAGAGTTAAAAAAAACAAGCACTGAGCGTATTCCATGTACAGAAATGCTAAAAGTTAATGTTTCTGTTAAACCCTCTTTTACAGAATGTAAATAATGTTTGTGTTTGTGTTAAGTTTGCTACAATTTTAACACAAAGTATACTTCCAAGAAGTATGTAATTGTCAATATTTTGTCAATAAAGTTTTATCAATATGTTGCGCGCAGTAAAAGTAAAGACTTTTGATTATAGCTGAAATATGGCCTCTGGCGCTTTAAGGGCAATTATCTTTATTTTATTTTGTGGCATCAAACGGAATCGTTTTGGATTTAGTGTACAGTGAGGTTTTTAAACTAAATACTGCAGCCTTTAATGCTCTGCGTTTGTTTCTCAGTCTGATTTTTTTGTGGGCTGCTCCACTGCAGCTACAAAGAGTCCCCACAAGCTTTTGTGAAAGTGCAAATCAGTTTGGGCAATTATCATGCGGGTAATATGAGGGGGAAAGGGGATGCATTGCCCAGTGGTCCACTTTAATCTCTTAATCCACGGATCCAAGGGGCCTTGGTTGGACATAATTTAGTACAATCTGACTACCCCTCACGACGCGATAAGGAAGGTTGCAATGTGCCGCAAAATGGGATCTTTGTTTAACATCTTGTCCTGTAGGCTCCATCCTGCTGCAAGCTGCTAGTGTTTTTGGACTGAAAGGGAAAATAACAGGATTTCTTTAACTAAACAAAATATATATTTACATCAGGAAATTATTTTCTGTTTACACACAAAACCCCCAGGAAACAATGCACCGTTAAAAAAAAATCACATTTACATTGGATTATGATTTTTTTTCTTTATGGTGAAATCATATCAACTCCAGTGTTGTCTGCTGCGAGGTTTGTTTAATTGTTTCCTTAACTAAAAGGGGCTGTTTTTGTGATTTTGGTTGGGGTTTGGAGGGGGGGCATATAGGGAATTCTTAATCGGCCCATAGATTATAACAGCAATAAAAATCTTTAGAGAATACCATTAGCTTTGGAAAAAAAACCTAAAAGCTTTATTACAAACCCAGCTTTGAAATAGGGGGGATTAGAGGACTGAAAGGGTCCCACAATAGTTAGAAGAAAAGGTTTCATGCTAATGAGGTTAATGCCCTTTGTATCTCCGGACTCCACAACTTCATTACTCCTATCTCGGGCAACACCGAGCGGCTCAGAGCTTCACAATCCACTCGAGCTTTTCCCTACCCTGCCTCTAAAGAAGGATTTGATAGCAGTCCTGTTCAAACTAGATAATTATATCTTTTCAAGTTGGAATTAAGATAAAGAAAGTGCAGTGGAGGCGGTGAGCCTTGATCCGCCGCAAACAAATTTGGCGCACTCTCCCCCCCTCTGTGCGCCTGTATGGACACACAGGAGACAGGACAGCTTCTCATTAGAGCTGGCACAGTTTGATTCATGTAAACGCGTTTGTTTTTAACCTGGAATTATCTACACAAAAATGTAAATGTAGCAGCAGTTATTCTATTGGAAATATGTGTTCTGCTGATATGGTTTTAAAAATGTAAAACAAAATGTTGCCAAATGGAAAAAGCGACTGGCTTTAAATTCTAAATTGCAAACAAATCTAAAATACCCATTACAATATTTAAATTATAAAAACATTGTAATTTAGAATTTTAGAAATTATAGTGCACTTTTCTATAGATTATTCTCGGTCCAAACATTCCAAAATGATCGAATAATAAATAAATTGCGCATATAATTTGCAAACCACAAAGCTTGGCTAATAATTACATATATTTTATTGCGTTGAAAAAAATTCAAAGCGCCATTCTCTTAAGATCTAGCCAAATTGAGAGTACGGTCAGATAAATGTAATCGGTTCGGACATAATTCAAACAGTGTATGTTAAGACTTGAAGTGGGCCCTCACATATCAGATCCCTCTTCCAGACGCTCGTGCTGTGCGTAAAGGGCCAGCTGTGGGGACCTTTGGTGACCCGTTTATCTAAACTTAAGCTGCTCCGCTCCGTCCAGGGGCCAAACTCTCCATAAATCATCATCACAGCTACTGAACTGCTGGATTATTCCTTAAATATTCACCACCGAGCCAGGCTGGGCATTTTGGACCTGAGCCCCCGCCGCATGAAACATTTAGGCTGAACGTGAAATGATTATCCGCCATTGAAAAGAGTAGTCGGTCCTATCAAGTGACCCCACTGACCCAAAACCTCTAATCTGCAATTAGTAGCTATAATTACGTCCGCTGACACCACTAATGTGGATAGTGGCGCGGGGAGGCGATAGGCGCGAGACAGGACTTGGTATTAGAGCTGAAAGTCAATAATTGATCGAGCTAAAATGGAGAAGTGCTTTTTGAAAAGGATGGATTAGTTTATCAACATAATGTGTAAGATTTATTTCATCGGTAAAACGTTCCTGGGGTGGCACCTGTAGGCCGTGCTGTCTCAACGCGACGTCAGGACTAACTTGATCTGTCCTGTTTCACAAATTGCTTCTGAAATTGATCCTTGAAACGAGAGAATGAAGCCCACACAATTCCCTTGGCCTTGACATAAGGTGCAGCAATAAATATACAAGACTAATGAGCAATTACTATACAATCACCCTTCAAATAGCTTACATAATAATAAATTAAACATCGGAGCCTAGGATTCAGTTTCTGACTTTATTATTAATAACGAGGGAGGGGCGTTTGCTGCCATGATGTGTTCGGATGATTATGTATTCCGAGTGCAGCAATTTTCCAATTCGCCATCGGGAACACAGTCAGCACTTATTGACTCGGACTGAGTCCACGGGCTTTTTACTGGCATCGACATAAGTGCGGGAAAATCATTTTAGTAACATGTTGTTTTTTCATTGGTATGATTTTGAATTTACTTCTCACAGGGTGATCTTAAAACGCAGCATAAACCGGCCTGCTGCGTTCAATGACATCATTCGTTCATCGTTAATGCCTAAACTCGATTTAATTTGCTTAAATTATACATTGAATGTGGTGTTGGGCAGTGATATGTCAATTATATAATATGTACATTTGAATACCCATTAATTTTTTCTTTCACTACTCTGTTTAGCCTGCTAAATTTCCCTTTTCTTTTTTATCCTCCATCACAATTAATGAATTCAGAGCAGGGTTACAGACACACACTAAGAGGCTGGCATCAAAATGCAATTGTTAATAGATGAATGAAGCCTAGAGCCACATTACCAGCTCTCTGACAGACCCAGCTCTGCTCTGTTCACTGAGGTCACCACAGACAACACATGACCAAGAGATGTCGCAGACCTACAAGTCACAAATGGCCTTTTTACTATGAAATATTCATACTGAGCTGCGATTCTGAAACTGTAAACTGTTTCCACCTGCACAGACGCCTCTCTCTCCGTCTGTCAGGCTTCTTCTCGGCCTCACTCCCACAACACCTCAGTTTGGGAAGCCTCGTAAAGTCTAAGGTCTCATAAACTGTGTTTTCCTCTTTATTACTTTCATTGGCTGCAACAGTAAACATTTATTCCCAAAGCATTAATATTCTTATGACCTGCTGCTAGCCCGTGGATTCCTAAGGTTTATTTTCTTTAATGACAGGAGGAATTTGGGCTGTAATGTGATGCAGTTTCATTTGCATATAAGTGTTTCCCTGCACCAGCTCTGAAGAGAGCAATTGTCGACCCCCTGTCCTCTGAAGGTCCGAACTCCAAACATTTTATAGGTTGTATCTGCAACATTCCCCTCAGCGCCCTAATGTGTAACACATGGCGGACTGTACACCTGATAAAATACCTCAGGGGCCCTGCAGTTTGGAAAATCCTCAATTCGCTCCCTAAATAAAACAAACAATGGCCTCACTAAATATATCACATGTGCTTGCTGAGCTATTTTGTGTCTCTTGACCTGCGAGTCCCCTCCCACATCATCAGCACTGATACCATGGCACAACCAGCAGGTACTTTGGAAAATAATACCGCAGATTTGAGAAGCTCCTGTTTGTACCTGCTGCAGGCTAAATATGGTGGAGGTGAAGGGCTTGTTGGAGCTGAATTGTTTCACGCTTGTTCTTCTGTCCATGGTTTTTGGTCAGGATATGATCACGTCCAATGAAATCAGCTCACATCCAAAAGTGGACTGCTGTTTCATATCTGAGAAAGTGCTGCAAATGTGGCTGCAATTACAGCTGAAATGTAATATAGCTGTGAGTGTGTGTGTTACTGACCAGACAGGTGAAACTGTGGGCACCTGTTCCTCTGTCCCTGCTTTCACCCTCTGAACTTCGCTGTGTCTCCCCCTCTTGGTAGCTGGGAGGGAGAAAAAGCTACCCCCAAAAAACATGAAATATCAAGTTTCTGTTGGCTGGGTCTGATGGCAGTTGAGTGCTCAGTGTCTGGAAAGTGAGGCAGCATGGTGGTGGACTTCTTGGACAGCGTCTTGGAGAGAGGATGGTGCATCGCTTTCAACACGAGTCAACTGAGCCTATCACACATATTTAAAATGTAATATTAGAACTATGGATTTCTCATGAAGTGCTTTATAATAGACAGGTGTTGACTAAGTGAAACGTAAAACTTAAATAAACCCCTCACTTGGAAATACTATTCATTTTTATAGCATTACCGTACGTTGTTTTTTAAAGTTATATGGCTACAATTTGGTGTAAGTAATGCAATGTGATAATCATACAAATGTTTTGTATAACTTATTAACATTACTACGACATCAGTGTGCAGTGTTCCATATTACAATTAGACACATTTAAAGCAACATTTACCTCGTGCGAAACACTAACATGGCATATATATGTTTATTTTTACTGTATATTTATAATAGAGACAATTATGGACCGATGCAGCAGTAATAGCTTGAATTAGTTTGCAATGCTCCTTAATTGATGATTCTAAAATGAAATAAAAAAGGCAGAAATTCAACAAACTAAATAATACACAACTATTGCACAGACACACATTTTTGCCTCTTTTGCTCATTAAACACTTTTTTTCTGAATGCGGAACAATGACAACAATCAACCAAAAACAAACTGTAAACAAATTCCTAAAACATTATAAAATTCAGAAGAAAAAGTAGTTTACTGCATAAATGTTTAAGGCTATATATTTAGCTATTTCAAAACATAATTAAGGACTTGCACAAACAAAGTGCTGTTGTTTTCTCTGTTACACTGATCAGAACACCTGA